GATAGAGATCTCCCTTAACATTTAAATATGGCATCTGTGCAGTTGCCCGCATCTAAAAACACTGATTTTTGTTTGCCATTTCCATACTTGAGAGATAACTTTAATGAAAATAATTCCTTCTTATGATCTATTTTTCTATAATGGTTCATGATTTACAAGATTTAGTTAAATCAATAGATAAAAAAAATCTCAATTTGGCAATTAAGTCAAATTCATAGAGCTATTATTTCAAATGAATTTACCTTAACATCAATATAGCAAATAAAACAAACTTTACCTATATTATTATTCCATCATTATTACATTAAAAGGAGATTTACTCACCAGGGGTCAAAATCCTAAAAACATAAAATTTGAAATTCTTGCTTAGGTCAAGTGAATCACTTGTAATGGAAAAATCTACCACGGATAATAAAGAAATATGCTCAAAGTGACCTCCAAATGGTGACCATCAGATCCTTAAAGTATAAGGTTATTTAAAGGAGCTGATTTTAATTAAATCCTCAAAAATATTACCCAACTCACAGTTGATAAATTTACAATTTTACAAAAGACTTAAATTGAAGTTGAGCAGTTATTTTTAAATTTTACTAAAGAGGTCAATAAGTTCTTTTAAGTTTAGAAATTTATACACCAAATCACTTAAACCTTATTGAATGGAGCAAGAAACAATGCATAAATAATTAAATATTTTACATTTTAAAATCAAAAGGTATTCTTGCATAAACCATAAGGGATTGTCTCAAAAAGTTTCAACAACCAAGGGGATTGTCTCAAAATAGTAATTCATCATTTCAAAACAACCAAGGGGATTGTCTCAAAATAGTAATTCATCTATTATATATATGGCAGTGTACTTCCTTCCATACATGTATATAGCCTTTCACAGCAGACTCAGTGCCATAATATATCCATAAATATGGGCTTCTTTTTCTCAATTAAGAAAGAAATACAGCCTCACAACTTTTGAGTTCATGATTGTAACCTTTCATACAAAGTCTCTGAAGAAATAACCAGCTCATAAAATATCTTCTTAAAACTAATTTCTTATCAAAAGGTTTCATACAATTTGCTTCAACACAACTCCTGATTTCTCATGGGAAACTTAATGAGAAAAATACTACACAAGAGAGAGAAAAAATTTCAAAAAAAAATAAATAAATAAACAAGAGAGCCATGATGGCTCTGAGGTCGCTCACCTGTATATAGCCCCCCCACACACACACCCATAAGAAGATGTTTCATGCTAAACATCTAAGCTCTAGCTCATTGGGCTTTATAAAAGAAGATTTTTTTAAAGTTTTTACTATACACATATAGTTAAAAACAATGACACCCCTGGGGCGGGGCCAGTTTTGACCCCAGGGCTTTTATTTGAACAAACTTTGTAGACACTAACTAGAAGATGTTTCATGCTTAATATCTAAACTCTAGCTGTTTGGGTTTTTTCAAAGAAGATTTTAAGTTTTTGCTATACACATATAAGGAAAAATCAATGACCCCCGGGGCGGGGCCAATTTTGACCCAAGGGCTTTTATTTGAACAAACTTTGTAGACACTCACTAGAAGATGTTTCATGCTTAATATCTAAACTCTAGCTATTTTGGTTTTTTCAAAGAAGATTTTTTAAGTTTTTGCTATACACATATAAGGAAAATCAATGACCCCCGGGGTGGGGCCAATTTTGACCCCAGGGCTTTTATTTGAACAAACTTGGTAGACACCTATAAGAACATGTTTGATGCTAAATATCTTAGCTCTAGCTCTTTGAGTTCTTTAAAAGAAGATTTTTTAAGTTTTTACTATATGCATATAGGGAAAATCAATGACCCCCTGGGGCGGGGACAATTTTGACCCCAGGGCTTTTATTTGAACAAACTTGGTAAACACCTATAAGAAGATGTTTCATGCTAAATATCTAAGCTCTAGCTCATTGGGCTTTTTAAAAGAAGATTTTTTTAAGTTTTTACTATACACATATAGTTAAAAACAATGACACCCCTGGGGCGGGGCCAGTTTTGACCCCAGGGCTTTTATTTGAACAAACTTTGTAGACACTTACTAGAAGATGTTTCATGCTTAATATCTAAACTCTAGCTATTTGGGTTTTTTCAAAGAAGATTTTTAAGTTTTTGCTATACACATATAAGGAAAATCAATGACCCCCGGGGCGGGGCCAATTTTGACCCCAGGGCTTTTATTTGAACAAACTTGGTAGACACCTATTAGAACATGTTTGATGCTAAATATCTTAGCTCTAGCTCTTTGAGTTCTTTAAAAGAAGATTTTTTAAGTTTTTACTATATGCATATAGGGAAAATCAATGACCCCCTGGGGCGGGGCCAATTTTGACCCCAGGGCTTTTATTTGAACAAACTTGGTAGACACTCACTAGAAGATGTTTCATGCCAAATATCTAAGCTCTAGCTCTTAGGGTTTTTTAAAAGAAGATATTTAAAGTTTTTTCTTTCGGTTGCCATGGCAACCAGAGTTCTGCATGGAATTAAATTCTTTGAACAATTTTTAAAGGTGACCACCAAAGGAACATTCCTGTGAAGTTTGGATGAAATTGGCCTAGTGGTTTATGAGGAGATGTCATTTAAAGTAAAAGTTTACGGACGACGGACGACGGACGGACGCCGGACGAAAAGCGATCACAAAAGCTCACCCTGTCACTTTGTGACAGGTGAGCTAATAAATAAAGGGAGCTTTTTTTTTTCTCTTGAATTTGATGATATTTTTTTTTTACATTTTTTTTTTTTACATTTCTTAAGTAGAACCACCTACATTCTGTTAAACTACCCGGATAGCTTTCCCATATTCCTGACGGCTTCAAACCTTAGTAACAGCCGTGAGGGGTGATCTGAGGTCCGCAACATTAACCACTCAGCCAAAATAATATTCAATTTTGTCAATGAGTAGAAATAATCATGAATTTTAGCTTATGTGGTTTGTTAATTAGCTGAATAGTATAATATGCTTCTAAAAAATTATTAAAGCAGCATGAGATTCATACTAATTTTCATGAAAATTTTGAAAATGTATTAAAAAGTAAAGTATTTCTAAGTGAACAAAGAAATTAATTTACACTGCAAACAGCACTTCAATCCATATAAATTACCGAATAAAGAGCAAACCATGACAAAAAAGTCCTTAACACTGTGTTAGTCGCACAGTAGAAATATGGTGATAAATACTGTAAAATCAATAATTCATTGCATGGTACATGTAAATTATTACTTGAATTGTCAATATTTTTACTCTTTTTTTAAAATCTTAGTACTTTTTTCTGAAGCTTGATTTCCTTGAAATTTTTGGTTTTATCTGGAGGCATGCAGTTTTAATAGGAAAACATTTTTCGTAAGTATGATATTAATTTTTATTTAGAGTTTCCTTATTTCTGAAATAGATCTCTTTTAATATTCAAGATTATAAAGTCTCCATAAGGTCAGCTTTGTTTAAATTTTGCATTCTGAGTTGTCCAATAATGGAGCTTACAATATTATTATATTATCAATTTTTCAGTTCTTTACAGTGGCCATTAGGGGAGTCATACCTTAAATGACCTTCCTTTGTTTTTATAATGTCAAAACCAACACTCACAGTAGAGGTGCAATCTGTTACTGGCAGATTCTGGTCTTACACAACAACTGACTAAGTATAAACTGCACTAACTGTTTAGATGTCACATACTTACTTATTGCTTGTAGAAATTAGGTCATAGTAGAAAATGAAGTTTCAAGAACAACAAAAATTGTGGAACTTATTGTTCCATATGTATGTACATGTATATCTACACATAATAGGTGCATTATTTTGGTCTCAACTCACTTGTAGATAATTCTAAACTTAAAGCAGGAAAACCAAAAATGTCACCCCTTCAAATTCAAAATTGACCATCTAAGGGAAATTCTAATAACAACCTTATTAAATATTCACCAAATATAACTTTGTATAAAAATTAATAGATCTAGTGTCTTCATTATAATTTCATAAAATAAGAGTTTCTTAACAATTAATATTTTATGTATAAAGTTATTTCAATATCAAAATAGTGAAATTTTATTCAACAAGACAAAAATCAATATCAGAGTTGATTGCTTTTGACAAAGATCTTAAAATATATGAAGTTCCAATATCCAATTTGTAATAAATTGACGCCAGTAACTTTTCAATTTTACAGTAACTGTCACTTTTCAATTTTGCAGTATTGGTAACTGTAACTTTTCTACTTTGCACTTTCAAAAAAAGCTTTGTATGAGATATTAAAGAATGAAAATGCATGTAGAAAGACCTTCAATTTTGGTTTGGTGAAAATGAAAAAAAAATATGAGTTTAAAAAAAATCTCTATTTCAGAGCTGATAAGGCTTAAATTTTGGAATCTTTACAGGACAAAAAAATACACCCCTGTACATCTGAATTTACTTCATATTTTATAACTCCTTCACCAGAGGTTGTGTCCTTAAGTGTCAACAGTAATGATGGTTTGTGTATGATAAATTATTAGAACAAATGAAAATACAATAAAAAGATAAATTCAATAATATGACATACTTTCTATGCTGAAGGCTAAAAAAAATTTAATTTACACTTACCACAATGAATTAACTTGAACTAACTCTTAGCACAATAAATATTTTAAATGAACTTGTACATCTTTCAATCTGGACAAAACCATTTATCATTTTTAAAATATGTGTCGACTTGAAGTTGCAAGAGTAGCAAACAGTGCAGACCATGATCAGACAGCATGGATGGTGCCACTTGATTTTGGTCTGCACTGGTCCCAGGTGTGGAATCCATTGCCACAAGGAGGCTTAGGTTTAAATTCACCGAAATTATTTTATAATTAAGAAACAATCATTTTCTTATAACAGGTAAACTACGGATCTAAAATTTTTTTTAATTGATTTGTATAATAATTATGTATTTTTTATGTGGTTTCATATTTTGGTGAAATTAAATTTGTATTCATATATATATTTAAATAAAAACAAACCTCATTGGTTGCTCTAAGACGTTTATTTTCCTGACGCCATGACAACGCTGTAAAATTTTCAAAGAAATTACCATCCGACTCTTGGACCCTGAAAATAAACAAAATGCAGACAATAACAGTCTGAACAAAATGTCAATGCAAGAGCTTGCAGGCATTAAGTTCATTAATATAAAGTACCTTATATTAATTGTAAAACAAAATTTGTTTTTTTCCAACTATGAAGTAACTTCAAATCCAAAGTATGAATCTTCATTAAAATGACCAAGAGAATAGGACAAAATATATTTCAATGTTAAATTTGTCCTGTCAAGGATTCAAGTTCATATAATAGTAAGAATTTGATAAAACAGTACTGTTCTTTTGCATTTGGATTCTTTAAAGGCTTTACTGAGTTCAACTAGAAATGTGTCCATAGGACACGGGTGCCCCCACCGCGCCACTGTTCTGTCAATCTTTTAACTAAGTCAAGGGAAATAACTCTACAAATACTGGATAAATCCAGAAGCGAAACCCCAGGTGCAAATCTAAATATGCTGAGCAACCTGCCCATAAGGTTTAATGACTATGTCAAATCCTTTTTGAGTAAATTGCGACACAAGTTGAAAATTGCAAAAAATTTCTAAGTGAAGGGCAATAACTCTAAAAATACTAAATAAATCCAGACGAAAATACCTGGTGCACAACTGCACATGCTGATCAATATTCCTGTAAAGTTACATGACTCTAGGTCAAATACTTTTTGAGTTACGTGCGACACATGTTGAAAATTGCAAAATTTTACTAAGTCAAGGGCAATAACTCTGAAAATACTAAAACTATCCACACGAAAATACCCAGGTGCACAACTACACATGCTGATCAACATTCCTGTAAAGTTTCATGACTCTAGGTCAAATACTTTTTGAGTTACATACGACACAAGTTTAAAATTGCAAAATTTTACTAAGTCAAGGGCAATAACTCTGAAAATACTAAAAATATCCAGATGAAAAAACCCAGGTGCACAACTACACATGCTGATCAACATTCCTGTAAAGTTTCATGACTCTAGGTCAAATAGTTTTTGAGTTACATGCGACACAAGTTGAAAATTGCAAAATTTTACTAAGTCAAGGGCAATAACTCTGAAAATACTAAAAATATCCACACGAAAATACCCAGGTGCACAACTACACATGCTGATCAACATTCCTGTAAAGTTTCATGACTCTAGGTCAAATACTTTTTGAGTTACGTGCGACACAAAAGTGAACGGACGGACGGACGGACGGACGGACGGAAGGACGGACAGACGGACGGACGGACAAGGGTAAATCTAAATGCCCGCCACTAACGTGGGGGCACAAAAAGCCTAAAACAATCAAATTTGAAATTCTTACATAAATCAAGTGAAACACTTAAAATTAAATGAGCAGCATCACAACAAAACCAACATAATGGGTTTATGACCAGCATGGATCCAGACCAGCCTGCGCAGTCTGATCAGGATCCATGCTGTTTGCTATCAGTTTCTCTACTTGTAATAGGGTTGGTAAGCGAAAAGCATGGATCCTATCAGACTGCGCGGATGCGCAGGCTGGTCTGGATCCATGCTGGTCGCAAACCCATTATGTTGGTTTTGTCCTGACGCTGCTCATTAATGAAAATCAATTTTTTGTGCGATTCTTAGCATGATTTATCTTAAGTGAAGTGTTGCAACACTTTTCATTTTGCAATACAAAAACTTATGATTCTGGCAGGAAATGATCTGAAAATGTGCACATAAGTTAATGGTACAAAAAAATATTTCTAGTCCCTTTCTGTAAAAAACTCAGTGGAGTCCCTTTAATCAATTATCAAATTCCTATTATAAACAATGGGCAATATATGTTTTCAAATTTGACTTCAAAAACGCTAAAAATAAACATATTTTGTAAGTAAATAATTTTCATTACTGGTATAATAAATTCTCATTGCAAAATCAAATGGTCATGAATTAAGGCCAACCAAAAGTTACATGCCTGTTTAAAGATGTATAAAGGCAGATATAAAAACAGAGTTCATGTGACATAACAACAGCTGTCACATGTGGAAAGAAAAAGTATTTTCTTTCTTTTCATAAATGTTAGGTGGTAGCATGTATAAAACTTGCGTAAATTTTGGAAAATTATTTCGGGCCAGCGTAAATGTTAATAAAATTTAGTTAAATATAAAGTAGAATAAATTCAAAAATAAAATTCGGGCCAGTAAATTCAAAATCTTAAGTTCAATGACTGATTTTGTTGTAGATTGTCTCTATCTCTTTTATAAAACCAAGTCAAAGTCAATGTGGACCATGATCTTAGTAATTTTTGTTGTGGTCTCACTGTGCTAGGCCAAGTGTCAAGTAAAATATCTGTAAAATATCTAAACACTGGCCTTGTGATTGCTGAATTAAATTTTTCTTTAAGATTTTTCTTACTAAAGTTTATAATAAAATAGAATCCTGGCTTTGGCTGACCCCACCATACGAGGGCTGTAAATGTAAGTTTTTAATTTTGTTACATCTACATTAGAACTTAATCTGGTGTCAGCTATTTTTTCTTTTTCTTTTTTGTTCTGTTTTTTTTTCTTCAAAGAGAATTGCATTAAGCTAGATGAAGTTTACAGATCACTTTGTAAATGTGATGTTTGCTAAACCTTTAATGAATCATCAACAATCTCAAATTAATATCATCATATAAAGAAAATAATCTCAATAACAACAATTTAAAGATAGTAATCTTAAATCAGAAAAGTAAATCTTGTATATCAATTATATTTGCGAAGTATTAAATAAAAAATATTTATATAATTTACCCTTGATAATTCATTGTAATTGTTCAATATTAAACCTGTTGAACGAACTCTACTTTAATAAATATCCGCAAGCACTCTAGAATAACCATTTCCACTCTCATGCCTCAGTAAAATCCAATTGGAAAGCATTTACCATACAGGTCTTTTAGTTCTATCCGTTAAACCATGCTTTCAGGAGCACTGCCTCAATACAACACTTATCCAAATTCATTGATGTTAAAACACTGCAAACACGGATGGATGAAATATATAGATGACAAGGTTTAATGATTTTTAGCGACACTGTATATTATACCTGACCGTATTTCATTCTGTTACCCATAATCAATATATATTCTATAGTTTACAAAAACATGTTTGAATAGAGGCAACACACACTTTTATTGGGTAACTTAACGACAAACCTTAAGGTTTTGCCAGTTTCCAATGCCAATAACAAATGATTACATTTCCTGTTTTTTCGGGGAAAATATTCAGATTATTGAATTAGTCGTGCACAAATGTCCTGTAATACTACGAGATACAGTAACTAACAGTGCTCCGGTTACTATGCATAATACATGAGCACATGATTTGCGGCACTACGTAGAATAGGAGGAAAATTGAAAGCTCTAATGGTAGGCTGGCACCATACCAATAACTATTGAGCTATTGTAGAGTCACCAGCTCACTGATGTTTATCTTTCCTGTTAAACAATATGTCATCAACATACTGCAATAACTCATTAACTCCTGTCAAATTTAGAAAGATTTAACACGTTACTGCACTAAAGTGACGATGTATTCCCTTAACTCCTCCTAACTACACACTAGAAATATTTCAAAGAGTTCTCTTCAACTGGGTAAAAGTACCTCCGAAGATAATTTAGATAGCCTACAGAAGGTTTTGTTTTTTTTCAAAGGAAGATATATCTTCTTAAATTTTACAAATCATTAAAAATGACTGTACAGTGAATTTGCTTTATGTTGTTGATAATTGCTACTTTAATACATTACGCTCTTGCTGTGAGTAATACATAATGTATTTGGCCAGGTAATAAATTTGAATACAACTAATATTCTTTTATCTGAATATTTTCACTGAAAAATCAGAAAATACATGTATATTCATTTGTTATTGGCATTGGAAACTTGCAAAAACTTAAGGTCTGTCATTAAGTTACCCAATAAAAGTGTGTGTTCAAGCAGCCTCTATTCAAACATGCTTTTGTTACGACAAAACCAACATAGTGCATTTGTGACCAGCATGGAATTAGACCAGCCTGCGCATCCGCGCAGCCTGATCAGGATCCATGCTGTTCGCTATCGGTTTCTCTACTTGTTATAGGGTTTGTAAGCGAACAGCATGGATCCTGATCAGACTGCGCGGATTATTATGTTGGTTTTGTCATGATGCGGCTCATATATTGATTATGGCCTGTCATAAAGAAACCCATGAATACAGCATGCTTTAATGGAACCATAACAGAACCCTTGAATCTAATAATGCCATAATAAAAACCTCTGAATACAACTTGCCATAATGAAAGTTTGAAACCCTACAATACAGCTTGCCATAATGAACCTTGAATATAATTTGGCATAATAAAACCCTGCAATACAGCTTGCCATATTAATGAAACCCTTGAATATAATTTGGCATAATAAAACCCTGCAATACAGCTTGACATATTAATGAAACCCTTGAATATAATTTGGCATAATAAAACCCTGCAATACAGCTTGCCATATTAATGAAACCCTTGAATATAATTTGGCATAATAAAACCCTGCAATACAGCTTGCCATATTAATGAAACCCTTGAATATAATTTGGCATAATAAAACCCTACAATACAGCTTGCCATAATGAAACCCTTGAATATAATTTGGCATAATAAAACCTTCCAATACAACTTGTCATGATGAAACCCTCCAATACAACTTGTCTTGATAAAAAAATCTTTAATATAAGTTGCTTTAAAGAAACCCTCAAATATAGTTTGCCTTATGCAGTGAGTCTTACTAAAACCTTGATTGTATAATTGTCTTAATGAAACCCTTGAATCTGAAATTGCAACTAAATAACAACCCCAGAACATACAGAATAATAGAAGAAAACCTGACAATCAATTTGCTGAAAAAATGCTTTGATATAATAAAACTGTTTGGTTAATATGTAGAACTGTTCCTGTGGGAGATATTTAGTTAATGTGCACCATCCCATAATATGAAACTTCTTCAATACATCTACCTTAAATAGTCAATAAATAACATGTCTCAGGTGGTTTTGTAGCTTTTATAGTTAAAACTACTCCATCAGGATTACTCCATACAGTCATATTTGTATAAAAAAAAACAAAGGAAAGTGCTGAAAGGAGTAACTCTGTGAAGTGTATTTAACTTCCTGTAATAAGAATAATACAGACTTACAGTACATTTTTTTTATCTCGATAAATTAAAAGGACAGAGCAAAACACCTTAATGCCAAATGTAAATTTGTAAACAACAATTAAAGAAGGTGGCACAATTTATAGCTGTCATGCTAGATATTCAAAATATAATCTTAAATAAGTAAAAAAGTGTTTTATTTTGGTTTCTTATATTGATGATCGTGACATGAGTTGATAATCAGGGCTTTTTTCCTTCTATAGAAGGAACAGGTTAAGGGCTGCTCCCCCACCCCCCCAAAAATCTTTAAAATCATGCAGTTTTTCCCAAAAATTGAATTTGCATTAAGTTTTTTTCTTCCTCTTTTGCAAATATTTCTGTGTAATTTTTCCCCAAAATTAAGGGCATGGCTGCTTCCCCAACATCTGAAAAAGAGCACTGATAATAAAGAAGGCATTTTTTAAAAAAACTCTCTGGAAATTATTAATAAGACTTCACGTTCCTGTAAAACATTTTAAATCACATGGAGACACGGACAATTATATCAATTTTTGTTTGTTGTCCTGCTTTGAATTTGAAATTTAAAGAACTTAAGAAGATTGCCTAATAAAACATCAGCATCTTAACTATCATTAAATGATTATTGACTGAGCTAAAACATCTAAAATGAGATCATTCTTAAACATAAATTGTTACCATCTTACTCTGTTAATTTGTTTATGACTTCCACACATGCATTGGCTATTTGCAAATGGCGTTCCTAATTCTAAGGGAAGTAACTCTTGCTTTATTAATATCGTAGACTGGATAGGATCAGGAAATGAGAAACGTATTTGATATTATTGAAAAGTTTACTACTTCTAGAATATGCAGATAGAACGTAATTCAATACAAATAAGTATTTTTAATGCTACAAGTACAAGTGCGTATACGAAACCCATATCTGACAACAATATGTGTCTTCCCAGATTCATGCAGATTCAATGCTTTCAAAAACTTAAAGAGTTGGAAAACACTAATTAGGACACATAAACTTATGATTATGAGTTTCTTAGTCCTATTTAGGAATTTACAAATTTCTAATCATGAGTTTCTTACAGAACATTAAACTTTAGGCTAACACCAAGTCACTTCAGAACATAGATCTAGATCTTATTACTATTTCGCAAAAAAAAAAAAAAAAATCATCAACAATCACAATGTAGTCCAAGCCCCATCAAGGATATGTCATGGTTTCCTTTAATCAAAAAAGTGTTAGCTAAGTTGTCAACTTTCGACCTATGTACATGTACATGACCATGTATATGAATGTCTTCAATAACTTGTCAAATCCGGATTTGACCTTTAGTAATTTTGAAGATACAATTAAGGTATTCATGTAGGATGGCCGTGTATATAGTTTGAAAGTTGACAAATGACTGTTTATTTACGTCGGGTTTTCCACTCTTTTCTACTCGTTTATTAAAAACAGGAGGTTTTGAAGTTCAACAAGTTAGAAAAAATATGTGTCTCAATTCCAAATAAAGGTTCACAAAAATAGCATTTAAAAGCATTTTAATTAGTTGCAATCTTATGCGTGAATAATATTGCTTACTTTACGCGAACAGATCTACACTTTTCTGAAATAATAATTCGTAATATTTATGTATAGGTAATATAAGATGATAGACACGAGTGCAATAATGATCAAATGTTACAATATGCTTTTGAAAAACTTTAGAGTTTGAAGGTTCCAGTGTGATAAATGTAAATTCCGTATTATTTGTTACTTTTGTTGATCGAAAAAGCAATTTAATGGCAATTTTCGCCCGTTGTTATTTTGATTTCAAATCTTCCCTTTGCAACACGGTTCAAAAGACAGTCCAACACATGTATTCAATACATAAGAGAGTTTTGTCAAGAAATCTTTAAAAGCCCTCCTCACCGAAGTATCATGCATAAAATACAACGTTCTATATGTTACTTTATGAAGTTTCGATATATCACGGATTTATAAATCCGTGGATATATTAACCACTATCAAACGCTTATTTGGACATACAATGTGGGAAGGGCCAACTCTCAATGTTGTCTGGGACTAAAACAGTTGTGTCCCAGATGTTGTTAAAACTTGTGGTCCGACGCTTTTGCTTTTCATGAACAACTACAACATCCATGTTAATATTGTAAATTTATTTGTTAATGTTTAGTCTTATATTTGCATACGACATTGTGAACAAAGAAAAAAAGGTAATAAAATATTATTAAACTAAGTATATCGTAAAAACAAAAAAAGTATTATAGGAAACATACATATACACATAATAATCCTCATATGTTTTAAACATTCCTTTATCAAACACATCAATTTCTTCTCATCTTTACTTTCACTTTTATTCACCAGCTTTGAATTCATGCACGACTCATTTGGTACATTATTGAAATACGCTTTGTCGGTGTATATGAAAACTTTTTGGCCATTTAAAGTAACTAACGTTAGTAAAACTAAATATTCACGCTACATAAATCTGATATACATCGTTTATCCACGAAATGATTAAAACTACATATAGAATAATACTAATCTGTCGGAAAATTGTAGATACATGAACAGGTGTTGTTTTCTGTTAACATTAATATTTTGTAAAAACAAAATCACCGGGAATAATGTTTTCTTTAGGAAAACATGAAAATTTACATATATTTTATGCAATTTTAAAGACACCAGTACATTTTTAACGGACTTATGTACAGCTAGCTAATTTTAATTGAACAGCAAAGAAATATTTACAATTTTTAGAAGAGAGAAAGAAGCCGATGCATCCGGTTTCCACCCCTCTATGCCTTATGTATAAATAGAATGAATGAAACATAATAATAAAGCAATTTCACCGGGTGTAATCGTTACAAGTAAAGATCGGATAAGTAATGTATATAATGTTGCATTTTTACAGGTGTTTTGCCATTTTATTAGGTATTTCTTTTGTTTATTATTAAAAACTACCGTTGGGCTATATATAATATGGGCTATTATGAAAACAGAAAATGTGTAACCTTTAATTGTTGCTATTATCTAGT